CTTGATTTCTTGGTATGCTTTTAAAGTAGGACAAAAGTACTGTAATAAAGGCAAAATAAATGCAAATGTGATAAGAGGATTATTCTCTAGCCTATACATGTCATGTGCGTCCTTCCTTCGGATCAGTGGAAGTCACCTTGTGGCCAGCTACCACTCCAAGGGCTCGCTCTAGCTAAACAGCCTTCCTTATCACCCAGCTGGTATTTGTTTCTAACGTAACCATCATTCTAGTAAATTTAGATGAAACTAGATGAATAATCTCTCCCAAGGCAACTTCTGTCAAACAGTCAAATTATATTGTTTCAGCAAACTCAACATCAAAGTGCTAACATTTTTCAAAATGCCATTTTCCAAACATTCATCTGTTCAGTAAAAAATGACTGTGTGTGGCTAACAGGTCTAGACATCTCATTCTCAGATAAGGTGAATAATGTGTTTTCATAATTTAGTTCACAGTATAAGCTTCATGATTTTGAAGTTTTACATTATTTAGTTATAAGGTTATTCATTTACTGTAAGTATTCCAATTAATTAATAAAGCAATTTTAAACACTGAGTTTCCCTACGGAAGAACAAGGCATACTGCTGATAGCCTCCAGGAAGAGCTATACCAGCAAGCACATCAGCACAGCCTTCCTTCAGGGAGAATGCACTGGCCTGGGCTTTCTTTTGCAGAGAAGGTAATGCTAATAACAAAGAAAGATTGAAACAGGAGGTTTTAATGAGACGGGAGCAGCATTTCTAACACATAGGTTGAACAAAATAAAGAGCTTTGGATTTAGTATGTCAACAGTTTCAATCATGCATGCACAGCCATAGATTGCTTAACAAGGGGATACATTCTGAGAAACTTGTCATTAGATCATTTTGCCATGCAAACATCAGCTTGTACTTACACAAAGGTAAGACAGTGAAGACGTTGCTAGGTGATAATACCTTATGGGACCACTGTCATATATTTTTGACAGAAACATCCTTGTGTGGCACATGATTGTATTTCAAACACTTTCCACATAGATTATTCTGATATATAAAACCCATGACAAATAGTTGCTAGGAAAGAGGAAAAAGACTAGATAGTTTCCTGACTGAAATAAGAATGGTCAGAAAAAAGAAACATGAATTTGCCGTTACTGACTTTAAATACCAATCCAAAGGTCTAGGTTTGTCTATAATTAGATTCTGTAGTAAGTTCCCTTTCATGAAACCTCTTTTGCTTAAAAGGAATTAGGTCAGATTTTACAAAGGCAGTAAGAGTACATGTGATAGATTTATTCAAATTGTCCACTGTTCCATTAAAATGTGTCCTTTTGCCTTCCTAAACCTAGTACTGAACAATAAAGATTGATTATGGCTGCAGACTACTATAGCAGTAATTTACTGAGGCTCAAATCATCCTTCCTTCCTTCCTTCCTTCCTTCCTTCCTTCCTTCCTTCCTTCCCTCCTTCCTTCTTTTCTTTCTTCCTTTGTTAGCTAATAGGGTGGGAGATGGGGTCAGATTTTACAAGGCAAAAGTCCATACTCCAGATTTTTACACTGGTAGAGAGGGTAAGTGCTATCAGGAAAGTAAAAGTGAGGGGAGAAAAAAGGCTATATATTACAGAGAAAAAATGGAAGGAATCTAGTCCTTAATCCAGTGTAGTCATAAATTAAAAATGTATCTTTTGGGATTATCCAAGTGATATTCAAAAGCTGACTTGGAATTGAAACAAGAGTAGAATTTTAAGTTGCATGACTGTTAGGATGGACAGTCGTATCAAATTCAATCTTTCCATTCTGGCCTTGACTTAATTTAACATTCTGCTTTTCTTTCTGTCCAACGTAATTATTCTCAACAACAGACTGGGAAAAGTCTTGACTAGGGTCAATTACATCAATTTTCTTTTAAGATTTAAAAAGGTGCATAGTTTTCAAATGTACTTTTCCCAACTATGAAGCAAAACATGCTCACTATACTAGTCAATACAAACACAGAAGAAGTTAAATTCATTCCTTATGCCTCTACTCAGAGATAACTGTTGTATAATGTTCAGTAGAAAATACGTAAAAATGAATGCACTATCTTATAATGAATATTTTGCACTTAATTCAAGAGAAAGATCTGCTCATCATGCACCTATCACTATGTCATTGGAAAATCTCACAGATGAATACTTGACATACATTACTAAGAAAAATCCAACCATAATGTCATGGGTAGGAGCTATAAAATAAAACTGCTCCACCAGAATGTTGTCCAGCTGTTAAATCACACAATTATACTGGAGTAAAATGGAGAAAAATTATGGCCTGGAACACTTGTCAAAACTGTTCAAAATCCTGATGTAGGAACACGGGTACATAAACAGTATACAGTGTCTTCACATATTAGGAGTCACTCATTATGACTCTGGACAACTGGGCTTTGCAGGCAAAACAATGCACACAGTAAAGAGAGGGCTGCCAGCAGGATGGGACAAGCACAAGTTTCCAAGGCCTTTGCATGTCTTAGCAATTTTTCATGTTGTCTCTAAAGCCAAAAGAAATAGCTACCAATTCTGTTAATTACTTTGGGCCAAATAATAATAATAATAATAATATATATATATATATATACACACACACACACACATACACACACACACATATATATATATAGATGTGTTTATCTATATATCTATATATCTCCTAACAATTTAGTAGCTATTTCCAAAGTAATATGTATAAACTGAAAAAAATAGTTCTATTTCATTCTTGAATGACTGCAATTACTTACTAATGGGATATATGCATCTGATGGGCACTGTACAATGTCTCAACTTGGAGTTCACTGAACAGCACTGCCTTTGTGTCCTGTTTCACACTGATTTTGTGCAGTACTTGCATATATCACAGCGGACACTGTGAGAATTAACTTTGCAAAGATAAGAATTCACTAAAAAGAACATAGCACAGGCTCCAGCGGACACTGGGCCTTCCCTGAACAGGAGGCTCAGGGGCATCTATCAGAGGTCGAGCCTGGTGCTGCTAGTGAGTTTGCTGTGGCTTTCCAGGGAGGTGGACCCACTGTGGGTCTGGGCCAACCTTCTCTTGTGGCGTACTGTCTCTGCAAAAGTGGTAGGGCCTTTAAACAAATGGCTGACTTTAAAGATTTGACGGCTCTGACATGTAAACTGCGAGTTCTTTTATTTTCGAGTACAGAGATCCAAAGGGGGCTCTGCAGCATTCCTTGGTTATGCGGAGGGAAAATGAAGCTTCCTCATGGCTTCCCACAAAATGCACATTCTTTGGGATCGCAAGCACCTACAGAGCTACTTTCAGATTCTCATTTACCCAACTCATACCAAATGCTTGCTATGACAATGCTGCAATCTGCTTTTATAAAAATAAGCCTATAATTAAGAACATAATCCAAAAGGTCACCAATATGAACCTTAAGCAGTACAGTTAGAAGTCAAGAACAACCGCAGTCCCCTTGGTTTATAGAATTATTTATTTATTTTAGGGAAGAGCCTACAGGGTGTTCAGGGTCTCACTACTAGATCGGACTCATAGTGATCTGACTGTTTACAGCCTCCCAAGTGCTGGGATTACAGGCACGCACCACCATGCCCAGTCTCAACTGCCATCTCAGAGTGCCCCGGGGACGGGCCTGGCACAGCAGGCCCGGGGATCAAACTCCTGGCCCCTGCGCCTGCTTGCGGGTGCTTTAATTCACCGAGCTATTTGGCTGGCACTTATAGAATAATTTATTACAATAACTTAAAAAATATCCTGGGGGGCTGGGGAGATGGCTCAGTAGAATAAGCGCTTCCCTGGCAAGCACAAGGGTCTGAGTTCAATCCCCGGTTTCATAAAAAAAAAATAATAAAATAAAATAAAAATAAAAAATATCCTACCTAGAAAGAATAATGCTTTGTTCCCCAAAGGTGTTCATGTCTTAATTTCTAGAATTTGTGAATGTTAAGGCTGAGATGAAATTAGTGTTGCTAATCAGCTGAGTTTAAAAGTGAGAGACAGGGTTAGTGAGATAGCTCAGTGGTCTAAGCACCTGCTTAGGCAAGTGCAGGACTGGGGCTTGATTCCCAGCACCACACGTCATGCTGGGCCCGGGCATGCTGGGCTGGCCACCGAGACTGGGTGTGGTGGCACACACCTATAATCCCAGTACTGGGGAGGCTGAAAACAGGAGGATCACTATGGGTCCAGTTGTGTAGTAAGACCCTGTACCAAATACATTAAAATAAAACAACACTGAGAGATTATCCAGGGTTATTAGAGTGGGCCCAATGTGCAGGTAAAAGTGAGGTAGGGAGAAGGTACACGGGAAGTGTATGGAGAGAGATGTGGCTGTGGGCGGAAGGCACCAGTGCTGAGGCTGGGTGGACTCGGCCCATACAGATCGAGAGTCGGGGTCTAGAAGCTGGGAAAGGCAAGGAGACAGACTCTTCCTTAGAGTTCCACACTTTGATTTTAGCCCAGTGAGGTCACATTTGGTTTCCTTCAGCCTGCTCAGGTAGAAGATAATAAAACTGTGTTGCTTTAAGTCATGAAGTTTATGTAACTTATAGCAGCAACCAGGGGAAAAAAAACTCTGACTGAATACTAATAAAAATAAAGCAACTACAAATGCTTTGAGTAAACTAGGTTAGCTACATAAGCTAACTAACACACTCTCAACAAGTATTTCCACTTTCTATAATGATGATGTATGTAGTAAGTCTAACTATAAAATAAACTTCCAGGTACTAAATCAAAGACTTTTATTAAAGTAGGCTTTAAATGTCATACCTTTTTGCCTTATTTTCCTCACTGATTTTAATGATGCAATAACTATAATTAAGATAAAAATCTTTGCATTATGCTCTGATGTAAATTTTAAATGAACTGTGCTTTCCCATGCAATTTTAACAATTACTTACAGAAAGCAAGAAAACATTCTAGCATCAGAATAAATATATCTGCATACCTGTGAACAGAAAATATTTGCTCTACTGAAGTTCAACCAGCCTGTTCTCACCTGTGGTCAAAGGCAGGTGTGTGATGCTGTTCAGACAGGTCAGTGTGAACCATGTCGATGAGAGTGTAGCCCCAGAAAAGAGGAGGAGGAGGATTAGCTTCAGCATGCCCCGGATAAAATCTGCAAATCTAAAAAGAAACAAATTTCTATCAATTCTAGATGGACTTTAAGTGTTATTTAAATTAAGGACACAACTATCATTAAACAAATGTTAACTGAAGAACTTTCCATGCATTCTTTTAATAGCTATATTTTTTGATGTTTAGGCTTTTTAGCTAACACGTTTTCTCATGTGTATGTTAGTTTATTTTTCTTCTTACAAAACATACAAACTGTCATCTGCTTGGGATCTGTAACTCACAGGATAAATTCCGAGTTTTTAAATGCCACTTATATTTTTTTATTTTTCTATACTTTCTAAACATTCTGTAATGAATACATACCCAAGTCTTAGGCAACAGGATGACTTACTGACACAAATTTGCAAAGAAGGTTGTCAAAAAATTCAAACTTAAAGGACAGATACAAATGCCTGCCTAACAGCTGGTGAGGTCCTGCGTGGTCTGGTCCTGCCTCTGCTCCTCTTCTCACTGGTGACTGGGCTTCTGTCTTCATAGGGGCTGAGGCTGCTTCCCACAGCACTGGGAAGCCTTTCACTTGCCCCATCTGGCTGGAACGCTGGGACCCGTAGGGCCCTGTGGCCCACTCGTGCTTCTGCTCAGCCCATTCAGGTCTCAGCAAGACAAAGCCTCCTGTGCTCCCTGAGGGAGCCTTCCCACCCCAGCTCCACGTTCCACTGCACTGCACCACACTGGAAACAGTCATATTTCTGCATTTGTTTATCCTGTCTTCCCTACTAAACTGTAAACTTCCTGAGCACAAGAATGCAGCATCTAGAATATTAAGTATTATTGTGAAAGTCTAGGAACTTTTATAGCATTCTAGTTCTCAAAATCATGAACATTTTCTGAATCAACATGAAACTAAAAGGCATACCAAATATTTTTCTACTTTCCGATTGTTTTTCCTCACATGCAGGTTGTGGACTGCATAAAGCACGAATTCTGACTGTCCCTATACATAATTTACTCTGCTCTTTAGAATTGTGCTTATTATAGAAAAATTGATCCCATCCTCTATATGACATTTACCATGTTCTCTCCATTTTGAATTTCAAAAATTGATCATAATTTCTATTGTAGTTATGTGGCTGTTATTTGAAACCCTTTCAATACTCTTCTTTATGTTGTACTTATCTGACATGATATGGTAATTGAGTTAAGTGTCCTGTAGATGTCATTGACTTCCTGCAGGAGCTGATGCCACCTTTTGGTGGGAAAAGTAGATGCAGCGTTACCCAACAAGCTTTGTTTTCATCTATGAACGTTTATAAGCAGAAAATTCTTTGTACTCTGAAAAAGGTTCTACAGCTTGATAAAAACATCCCTCAAGAGGATGCAGAACCCTTTGTCATATTTCCAAGTTTAAAAAATACATTTCTGACATACAGTTAGATATGCTACGAGATAGGCAGGTGACAAAGTATGACAGATTAAAACACTTTATGGTACAACTCAAGAGTTTAAATATAAGAAAGTTTCTCAGAACCTGATCATGTAACAATAAACTGACCACTATGGCCTGATACTTTGTTTGTTTGAGACAGGGCCTTACTATGGAGATCAGGCTGACCCTGAATTCACTATGTGGCCAGGCTGGCCTTGAACTTGCAGCAATCTACCTGCCTCAGCCTCCTGAGTGCTACATCACCTGCCTGTAACTTCCGAGCACCCAGTCCTTTCAAATGTACTGATACCATCAAAGAGTACTGCTGGGGGGCCAGGGAGATGGCTCAGTAGAATAAGTGATTGCCTGGCAAGTGCAAGGACCTGAGTTCAATCCCTGGTTCCACCAAAAATATAAAAAACAAAACAAAACAAAACAAAACAAAGAGTACTATTAGGAGCAACAAGGCAGTACCTTGAATACAGAACTATAAAACATTTATTCAAAGTATACATGAGAGGGCTGGGAAGATAGCTCAGTAGAATAAGTGCTTGCCTGGCAAGTTCAAGGTCATGAATTCAATCCCCAGTACCACCAAAAAAGAAGTATAAATGAGAATCCATTCTAGCGACTTCTCAAAAAATAATGTTATGAAAATAATTTAAAACTTGATTTTAAGCTAAAGAAATTCTTTTAGCTAAAGAAATTCTTAACACAGGATTCTGATTACAGAGTAAGGGAAGTACTTTTTAGAATTTCCATTTCAACAATTAAAAAGCAGAAATGTCCTCCTTGTTATTTTCCTATCTAGCTGTATCTATATATAGTTTAAAATTCAGGGGCCATGGAATGAAAATGAAGAGAAGGGAGCATATGAGATGTCATTCCTGATACATAATGGCTCCCTCTTTCCGCTATTTGGCATTCAGAAAGGTATCTGATCAGTGATGACTCACTATCATTGGCTTGGAGATTTAATCAGAGAAATTGGTATGATTCTTATCAAAATCTGACAGGCCAAAAAAA